TATATTTTATACACACACACATATATATATAATTTTATGGGACATATATCTTAACAATAGTCAGAAAACGAGATATTTACAAGCGCGTTCGTTCAGATATAGAAGCAAACAGTTTCATCTAAATTTCTGCCTGTCCCAAAACATCACCATTCGAAAAAAAATTTTACGCTCTAAAACTGTTCATCTAGAATTGCAATAAGATCCTTGAAAAAAAACTTGTTGTCTGTAGTTTTTCAGTTTATTTGATGTTAAAATGTTAGTATTTTGATGGATCGTCTTCATCCATCATCAGGCATGTGTTTTTTCCTATAAAATCAAAAACTTGAGACAATATATCTGTATATGTCGAATTCGAAAGATGTTTTTGAATATCTGCTATTATTGATGGCTGTGAGATGGACGGGCGCAAAGACGCGAACGCTAAGTTTTCAAAAATTTTTTAAGTGAGAATGTTATTTAAATATTTTTGTGATGTGTTAAATCCACATATTCTATTTTACAAGTGTATTCAGTTTTTATGTCATGAACTAAGTATATAGTTCAATAATATAGTGTAATATCATAGTAGTAATTTTTTATAGGAATTTTTATGTACTGTGGATAAATATAGTTTTTAATAAACATAAACATTAGGCAAATATATGATTTACATACAAAGAATAATCACACATAGAATTAATCAGAAGTATCAATGCGATTATTGGTGACATCCATCGCTAGAAAACATAATATATGCATTAAAATCCTGTTCATCCATAGTGCGAGTTTTGACCCTTGAAGATTTGAAAATTACTACTATGACATTACAGAAAGAAAGAAACTCATATTATTGATACATATTTTTAATCCAATCTCAGCTTTCGGCTTACATAAGCCATTATCAAAGATGACAATTACTGTACAATATAGTAAGCAATATACGGACAAGTTCATAGTAGGAAAGGTTAATGTATTTATTAGTTTTGTTAGGAAGAGTGATATTACCTTTGCATAATGTATTTAGATTTTTTATAATTTTAACTCTGTGCTGAGCTTCAGATTTGTTGTTCAGTAGTTTCCGTAATATATTATAATATATTAGGATTAATCTTAAGTGTGGGAAAAGATGAGTTACTGTATATATTTCTTATAATTATATCAATAGTTTCACTAAGAGGGATATTGGTAAATAAGTTTATAGATGATGAAGAAATAAGATGCTTTCTTAGATATCTCAATACTAAGCACATATTACATAATACTGCTTCTACCAATGTCAAACATATTAATCTCCTATACTGTAATCAAATGCATACTAATTATAAACAAGATGAAAATATACTAAAAAATTTAGTAAATACTAATAAATTAACAACAGATCCTAGCAAAAAAATTAAGTTAATCTACACTAAATCTAATATATCCAACTTAATTATTCGCAATGATTCTTCTCCACTGGTCAGTGATTTGCAAAAAACCAACATAGTTTACAAATTCAAGTGCCCTTTGGGAGATTGTATCTCCAATGAATTAAATAATATTTATGTTGGTCACACCACAAACTCGCCATAAACATCTAAACAAATAAACAATGTATCCCTCTATCTATCGGTTTTAGTTCCCCCCCATCTCTCTCCTCCCCACCCCTTTTTCTTTTCATCTCCCTCTCTCATCTTCTGATTTTATATCATCTATTGTGTGTGTATGTCACCACAAAATGTATAGTCTTTTCTGGTGTATATTTAATGTAGTAGACATCCGAGAATATTCATATGTCTTTGGCTCCCTTCTTTTAAACTTTTCTCTGTTAAATTTTAATACCCACTTCATCTTTAGATCTTCCTGGTCTTCTCTTGTCTGTTACCCCTCCCTATAACTTTCATGTATTCTAACATTCGTCCCACACTCTCATACATACACTCTCATTAAATTTTATTTTTTATTCCTGGAGTTGTTTTTTCTGTTTCCTTTTTGATTTTGTAGGTCTGATGAATTGGATTGTATTTACGATTCCAATGGAATAAATTATGACCATGGAATAAGCCTTTTTATTATATATCTCTATATATATATATATATATATATATAAAAACTTGAAACCGCAGAACATAAATACAGTTTTAAAAATACACAAGAAAGAACCCTTTCAGCCAACACATCATTAGAAGGAAGAGCTTGGCAAAATAAATCACAAAAACAAAGTTATGGAAAATTCACACTGCAGAAAAAAGTAGGTGAGGAGGTAAAAGTATGGATCAATAAAAAAATAAATAGTTCCAAGTGAGTATAAAATAAAAGAAAGAAAAAAATTCTCACAAACCTCCTTAAAGACTGAGGGAGCAAATGATATGCTCATTTTGTTTGCAACAGAGTCAATTGATATAACTTAATGCAAACTGCTTCAATGTGTAAATGATGATTGGAACAAGTTCTTTGCACAACTGTGAAATAATTATTCACATATTTGTTGGCAGTGTGGGTTGTCAAGCTAGTGTTGGCCAATGGCTGAGTCACACACATACTGAGTTACTGTCAAAGAGAGACTCAACCTACCCAGTCTAATACTGGCAGAAAGGTGTTGACTAATTCGTGTTTTTCAAGTCACTGATTGGTTTGTCCTACTTATTCAGTTTTGCACTGACATTTGAATTTATATCCATAGGACTACTTTGAAAATAAGACAAACCATCTTTGACAAATGAGAGAAATACTGAACTGCTGCCAAAAATAACATGTAACTTGGCAGTAGAAGATCCTGATGTAATGCAAGTTGACATTGTTAGGCAGCATTTGACTTTTTCCACCTACCCATGAAAATTTTAAATAAGCAGGACACATGCTGGGACTGAACACTACCGGTTCTTTAAAGTGTTTAATTTTATGCCCAGTAACATGTTTAGCGACATTAACATGTGTGGCAGACATGAGACAGAACCTGGGACCAGCACAACTGGTCGCGACTTGCCTTGTTCCCGCCAAAAAAGAGCCCGTATTTGCTTAGCATGTAAAGCTACTGCAGTTGAAATGAGGAGAGAAAAAAGCACTTACCGCTCTGCTGTAATCCATCCTCGGCCAGATAACTTAAAAGAATGAGGGGACTGGCACGCATTTTTATGCAATAACGATGCCATGCATTATGGAACGTGGACTTAATGAATTATGGGATCATGGAGGACGGCGGATTATGGGTATATGAACAATTATAAAAAGAACTACTTTTTCCAAGTCGGGAGTTCTTCGAGACGTTCACGTTGACGGCAAGAACGGGCAGTTAGTGTGATTTGGAGACAACTCAAGAAGGAACGACTCAAGTTTTGAAATACCAGCTGGGAGAGCTTGATTTGCTCGCTGGTTAATATTTTTTCATTCGCCACAACATGGCAATCATTATCACAAAGAATAGAATGAATGTTCTCCAATTCTTGATCAAATCTACGAGGAGAACAAATCATCAACGTGTGATGAACTAAGGTTGAGATCACATTTATCTTACAAGAATTATGAAGAAAAGAATTCCAGTTGGTGTATAGACTTGTGAACTTAGGCTTCCGATAAACACTGTTAATGAACGAACCACCTTTATGTTCAATCAGTATGTCCAACAAGGCGAAGTAGAAGTGTGATCAATATAAAGTTGATACATGTGAGGCTTACAATATTTTTTGAATAAAAAGTTTTCATAAAAACAAAAAAAAAATGTATAGCTAATATCAGACCAAGGGGACTGCCCATTGAAACCCCCATTGACTTGGGCATACATGGCATTATTAAATCTAAATTCCACCCGCTCCGTTGCTGAATGCATAAGCTCCAAAAATAAACCTTTGAGAATTAAGGTGAGATCCACGTGACCCCTATAAAAAATGTTAGTGCAAATTGATGAGGACATTTGTGTTTAAATTAACAACGTCAAAGGAGACTATGAGCTTGGTTTCAGAACACAAATAGGTGTCTCATAAAATTAGAAAACTGAAATGTCAGAAACAGAATAAGTGGAAAACAGGTCAGAGACAGGCTGAAGCAATTCAACCAACCATTTGACCAATTGATGTTGTACAGAACCTACCATAGACAAAATAGGTCTAAGGGGAACATTGCCTTTATGTACTTTAGGTAGGCTGTACATATGTTGACGTTGGGACCCTACAGTTGTAATGCAATCATGCATCATTTTTAGAAATGAGGTTGCTCTTGTATACAGAGTGTAACCATCGCTGTACTTTCACCTCTATTTTGCTGGTATCATCACAGGAATCATGCAAAATGACTTCCATTTTATTGATATAGTCCTGACTATTTAAAATAATCACTCCTGAGTCTTTACTCAGCTTAGTGATATAAATATCACTTCTGGTTTTTAATAACCTTATAGTCTGGAAATGGGCACTGTCAAGCGAGAAAATCTCAGCAGAGAGCAAAGAATATTTGCAAGATAATTTGAATAATCTTATCTTACAGAGGGACAACTTGTCCAGAGACGCAGATTTATGCAACAAAAGAGAGAACAAAAGTTCAAACTCAGCGAAAATATTCTCCTTGCTTGAGGGAGGAATGCAAAAATCCAACCCTCTTGAAAGAACAAGATGTTCCATTTCTGTTAAAGTGACTTTGGAAAAAATAAATATATGCTTGTATAAATCTCCATTTTCAGTAACAAATCTTTTTGAGATTAGAGAATTGAGATAGTTTTGATTTTTCAACTTAATATGCTCTTCAAATTGAAACTGATTCATTGCTAAATAGTGTGAAAAGCAAAAGAAATCAAAGAAAGATAATTTGTGTCTAATCTAAGCTGAGGACAAGTGATACAAATGCAAACATGAAGAAAAATCAGATAATTTGTTCAACTCATGCTTTATAAAAACACAATTGACCAGAAAACAGAGCCTTATTTTGATCTTGAGGAACCTGCACCTGATAAACAAAGGGACAACATGGCATGACAAACAGGACTGCAAACTAACATCTGGAATATGCTATAAGCTATATAAGAATTGTCCAAATGTCTTCAAGCAACTCACCATCTTCCTCCAGCATGCATGGAAACAATGTATTGCACCACAAGAATGGTACCTGGTGGATGGCATTTTGGATACCAAAGGAAAAGAATGCAAAAAGCATTACAATTTTCTGCCCCATCTCCCTCTTGAATGTAGAAGGGGAAAATATTTTTTGGGTCCTTGTCCATCATATAATGGACTTCCAGCGAGGTAACCATTATATAAACACAGCTGTCCAGAAGGCTGAGATACCTGGCTTCCCCAGCTTGCTTGAGCATTGGCACATGATTTGGAATTCAATTCTATCAGCCAAACAAAATAAAACTGAAATTCATGTAATATGGCTTGATCTTGTGAATGTGTATAAATCATTTCATCATGAGCAAATTTGAATGTTCCTCGAATTTTTCAATTTCCCTAGTAAGGTTGGAGAAAACATAGTTCAGAGCAGAGTTTATGCAGTTCAAAATTAATAATTACACCACCAAGTGTCAAGTCTTCGAGCTCAGCATCATGATGGTGTGTGTGATTTCACTTCTTTTCATTATGCCCATGAAACTGATGCAGTCTCTACATACAATAGAAGATTGCAATAATTAAATACAGAAATGCTGACCAATCATTGAATCAAAGAAACAAACTTATTTTCAAGTATAGACATAAGAACAAGTTTAAAAATCCCTAAAAACTTTGACTTTGGAGTATATACACTTTAAGTGTTGATTCTTTTATATGGGTGTGTGTATATATATGTGTGTGTGATTATATTGCTTATGCATTTTTGTGATTTTTTTTACATGTGGTTATATGTATGATTGGCTTGCTGATGTATACATCATCTATAGTTTTAAACTAATATTTTTAGTATTATTATTATTATTAATAGGTGTATCTTTATTATGCTTATCTTTCTACGTTTATATTCTAAATTTGTTCTCTATAATTATCTTTTATGTCTTTATTAAAAATCTTATTTTACTTCATTTTTATGTTGGATATTATTATTATTTTTATTAGGGTTATCTTTATTAGACTAACAAATTTGAATTTGTGATGATTACTGCTACCTAAAATTTCAGGCTCTATCAGTCTTTTCTCTTTCAAGTTTAATCACACACACTATATCAGCTGATGTACAAACTTGTTCAGCCCTTGAAGGAAAAAATTCTTGTCCAGGTCACTATTTTTGTTTTATTTCCTTTCATTTATTTCTTCCTTCTTTACTCTCTCTCCTCCCACTCTCTTTTATATTTCTTTCTTCCTCTCCCTTCTTCCTGTTGAAACAAATGATTACTTACTATTTCCTGCGCTAAAAAAAAAAAGGTGTATTTCAAATAAACGATAGAAAGCCGGAATCTCAAATATTTGTTGATTTGACAAGTGACGTGTGTAATTTTATTTTAAAAATGGGAAAAAAAGTTATAGTTTAAAAATCTTCACAAAATGAAAGTTTAGCTTTATGTGAACAACTTATTTAGAAAATTTTAAGTAAAGACATAGATTTGAAAAAAACGGCCTTAAATTGGACAAAAAGAAATTTTATCGTCAAAATGTTTGTTACTACCAACGCAAACCACGTGATGGACTTTTGTTTTCATGATGCTTCCAGTCTTCCGTATATTTGAAATTTAAGATATTTTTTTGGGTCACCAAAGAAAAAAAAAAAAATTATATTACTAATTATTAATATTTTTTCTTTGATTGTTTGAAGATGCTTTTTGAAATTTTATAATCTGTAGGTTGATATTTATCTAACTTAAAAAAAAAATTAATTAATTGTACAAGATTTTCATTAATTTTAGAATATTGCAAAAAAAAAACTTTTAATAATGTAAAAAAAAAAAAAAAATTTAACAAAAAAAAAAAAAAAAAAAAATTCCTTGCCATTTTTTTTTTCATCGAAAAATGAATTTTTGCTTTCAGAAAATACATATTCATACAAAAAAGTAAAAGTAAAAGCTTTTGAAATTAAACAATCTTTGTTTTATTGAGTTTTGTATGTTACAATTCAGAGCTGATTTTAAGGTCGAAGGTGTCAACTAAAAAAAAAATTTGCTTTCCTCAAAGCCTTGTGCTTTTAATTTATCACTACTGTACAAATTAAAATTTCATGAGTTTTCATAAAATTAATTATGGGGGATATAAACAAAAAAGATATTAATCATTTGGGAATAGTTTCTGAAAGTTTCATTAAAATCTAACAATTATTTTTTATTTTGTAAGATTTCCAAAATTAATGATTGCCATTAAAAAAAAAAAGGTGAATAAAAATCCGCCATGTTATTTAGTATGACAAAAAGCTGATGAAGAGAAACGAGGTTTTTCAATCAAAAGTTAGAAATGGTCTAAAGACAGAAAATTTTGAAAAATAATTAAAAATTACTGGCATTCTTTCCTCTTAATAAAAAAACATTTTGACGATAAAATTTTGTTTTCGTCAAGTTTAAAGCCCGTTAGGGTTTCAGTAATTTTTTGTCCTCGGCATCTAAAGAAATTAAAATAAAGATAAGCATTTGAAAATTAACACCCTGATGTGGATTTTTTAATAATTTAAAATATTATTTAATCATTAATAGTTAATAAACTTTAATTAACATTAGCAGAAAATAAATATTTTTCTATTTCAATCTGTAAAATTGTGAACACTGTTGAAAAGAAAACTATTCAAAATTAATAATAGAAAATGAAACTAATTTCAAATAGGAATGAAATAAAGTTTAAAAATAATTTAAATTTATTAAACATTTTAAAAAAATTAAAACGTCTTTATCAAAATTACGAACAAATATTTTTTTGTTTCTTAAAAAATTAGTCAATTTAAGTATGCTCCACAGTCCACACTATGTATTGTAAAGAGTTAAAGACATTAAATCAAAAAAATATTTAGAAGAAATAGTAACTGAAAAAAAGTAAAACTTACTTTAAATTTTAAACTTTTAAAGCTGAAATGGAAAGTCAAAAAATGCAATTGGAACGTAAAGAAACAGAATGTTGCTACATAAAAGGGACAAAATTCTTAGATCAATTTTACCGTTTCATAATGGCAATTTCAGTCTACCATACATGAAAATGAGGAAACGTAAGTAAAAAAAAAAAAAAAAAAAAATTAAATAGGATAGCGGAACTACGTTTAAAATCTTTTTGCAATTTTCGACTCGTAAATTTCGTTTTCCTTAATTACTCTATCACATCCAGGAAATAGCCCAATACAGAAATTTACAAGATTTCAGATCGTTATAAATTATAATTAAATTTAAAAAAAAAAAAAAAAAATGAAAAAAATTCTTTTAAAAATTAATCATCGGAAAATTTGTATTTCTTCAGACAATAGTGTCCTATAAAAAACTTATTTACAAAGGTAAGAAAAAGCATTTCTAATTAAATTCCCCTTTTTTCAATTGAAGGGCAGATTTTCAGTTGGAATAGTGCAAGTTTGAAAAAAAAATTAAAATTAGGCTTAAAACATTCTCAAAACATTAATTTTTTTTTTTTAAAAATTTTATGAAATTAATGTGTGCGTGAAATGTGGGGGTTAACATACACACAAAATTTTGATAAAGGTTGTAGACTCTTAGTCTTCCACAACACAACCAGCTTTACCTCTTTGTAGGAAATGCACTCTTCCTATCTAGTAAGCCAAATTCTACCTTCAGACAATATAACAAGTATTCATTGGTCAATGGTGCATATGAATTTATAGTTTTTGCTTGATTGGTCATTTTGAGTCCAATCAAACCGCCTGCACGCGACTAAGCTTTTTTCCATTATTCATATTTTGCGAGCCCATGGTGATTATATAAAGAGAAAACATTGAGGTGAGGGCCAAGATATTTCAAGATGAACATTCACCGACTCCGTCTTACCTTTTTGCTGACCAGACGTTAAAGACAATTACCAAGTCAGACGTCTTCACCAAAGAGAAGCCCATCAACTCAACGCCAGTCAGTCTCACGAATTCGCAGAGAACTTTCAATAGGAATCCAACTCCACGCCATTCTGAAATTTTTAAAACAATTGTTAGAAGCTGATCTCGTATTCTATCAATCATTAATCAACTCTGTGAACACATTTCTCAACTTTTTTATGTACAGTGAATTAAATTCACTACTTATTTAAGTAAACACCAGCGAACGAACGACATAACAAAAACACCACACGCCAGTCTAAACTCTGACTTTGCCGCGCATAAAATATTCACTAACTCGGTAACCTTCAAGGCACACTATCTCTCTCTAGAACATTTTCTCAAACTTCACTTACTATACTTTTCAAAGTGATATTTCTCACTACATAACAAGTATCAGTAACTAACATTCCATTTTTCTCGAGCAGATAAAGGTACGCAACTTTGAACAACCTTGATTACTTGTATAATTTGTATATAAATTGATGTTAGTGTTATGCATTCAACATTTGTCTTGTTTTTCAACTTTATTTGAATAATTTGTTCTAAATAATTGTTTTGCACGAATGTTGTAGAACACAGTATGGAAAATCCTTCTGATCAATTTAAACGCAATCACTAGTCCGCAACAAGGTTCTGAAAATTTCATTAAAATCGTGCAATTATTTGATTTTTTACAAAATTTATGAATGAATGAGTTTTCAACAAGGAAAAAAGCGTAAACATTTTAATGAGGTTATTATGTCACCCCGAAAACAAAACTAACTTTTAATCAAAATTTCAAATGTGAGGTATTAAAAACAATTCAAAAAATAAAAAAAACTTTGGTCTTTAATAACAAACTTTTGACGATAGAACTTTAGACTCGACATGAGTTTAGGAATTACCCCTAGCAACAGAACAGTCTATATCTTACTTGAACGTACATAAAAACTCCAAAATTTTCCCAAATGGCAAATCAACCAATCGCATTGGTTCATATGAAAATGGACGCAAAAACGAAAAAATAAAAAAAAAAAGGGAAAAATTACTTAAAAGAATGTTTTTGTAATAAAATGAATCTTAAAAGACCAGTAAGTCATTGCATACGAGTGGAAACATCGAAAATTGATTCTCGCAA